GCCCCGCACATTGACGATCACATTGACTGAACGAGAACAAGTCTGTCGGCGAGCTGTTTTCGCTCTAAAACGGCTTTGATATTTGAATAGTTTTCATTTTTTCATTACGAAATTTGTACGTTAATATATAACATCATTTTAAGTTACTATTAATAATGGTCGTGAATTGTGCTGTGTACGGCTGTTTATAATCATCAAAACGGGATAAAGAGAGGATTTTCTTTCGTTTTTTGAAAGATGAAACGTAGTAAGTAAATAAACTTATGTCCGAGACTCTTCAGTTATTGTTTTCTTTAGTGCAGAGTAGTATATAATACAGATTTATTGTATCAATATAATAAGACGTCATAACTTCGTGAGCTAGACAAGGGTTCTCGAATTTTCAATTTTTATTGCCGATCAATATTACGTAGTGAATATACCTAATTATTAACTAGGTAATGATAAAGTTGGACACGCAATTTCAAATACTTTGGTTACTTTTTTTAAAGGTACCTGTCCAAAGTGCTTTTAATATATTTTTAAAATAAATCTTCAATATTATTCTAGTTAGTGAATTAATGAAAAATATTATATTATATCGATATAAATACGTAATGAACATGTATAATTATTAGGATTCTATAATATTATATTATACGAGCAAGTGATGTAACCCTGCCATTTCACGCACACATTTGCGCGTGTGCAGTAAGCGCCTTGCTGTATGTAGTAGTAGTAGGTAAATAATTTGCGACTGTTGTATGGAGTGTCCGGGGTGTGTCCGAAGATAAATCGTCTCATTTTAGATATGTAATCCTGTGTATATGTCACACAGTGTGACACGAATTGAGCTAATTAAAAATTTGCATCTGTCGCCCTGTCCCTGCGCGATTCCCTTTGTCATCACCCCCCGCGTCCCTGTAGCGTCGCGGACGTGGTCAGACTTACGCGGTCGTAGAGTAACATCCAGCCAGCTAACCAAGTAAGAGAAGACATTGATAGAGTTATATTTTTAGATTAGTATTGCGGTCTTGACGCCGCCTACTATTAACTGCATAAAGTATGACGGACTTATGATATTTAAACCACGGTTTCTATGAATTAATCGGTAGAATAGTTGCTGTAACAACCGTCTTTCGTCTTATCTGGTTAACCTTGGAGAGCATTAAACATTTTAGAGTAAAAACATAACAGCCGTATTAAATTTTTGGTTTAAATTGGTTAAAGCGCCATCTATTGATATAAATAGAAAAATCTTTAGTCAAAGAAGTGTCAAAGTATGGAAATTCTTTAAAAAGGCCAGTTCGGAAAAGATTTTGCTACAGTTTATGAGAATTAGGAAACGCTATCGTATTATTATTAGTGGTCGGAATATAATGATACTTTCATTGTTCCAATGTGTAGATAAGTATCTACAGGTAGATACAAGAAGTGACATAGAGCGGTTAATATTAGGGGTTAAAGTATGAAATTGCCGTTTTATTGCAATAGGTTCTTTGAATTTTCATAGAATCTTCATGGTTTGAGGTTTTCGAATGAAACTTTTTTCAAATGGTTTCTGTGATTTTTTTTTTTTAAATTTGAAACATTTGAATATCGACTTTCAATTGTTTTTGTTATTCAATTTAGACAAGAAAGATGGATACTGCGAAAATTCGAGTGATTTTTTAATACGAGTTCCGACGCGGAACTAACGCGGCAGAAACAGCCCGCAATATCAATGCTGCGTTTGGAGAGGGGTCTACTAATGAACGCACCGTGCGATTTTGGTTTAAACGCTTTCGTGATGGAAATTTCGACTTAAAGAACGAGCCACGAGGAAGACCGCCCACACAGGTGAATAACGATGAATTAAGAGAGATAGTGGAAGCCGATCCTAGTCAAACTACCCAGGAATTAGCGGCATGGTTTAACGTTACCTTACCCACAATATTGACTCACTTGCGTCAAATCAATAAAATAAAAAAATACGAAAAATGGGTGCCTCATGATTTGACTGATCTGCAGAAAGAAACGCGTGTTGAAACTTGAGTTGCCTTGTTGAACCGGTACAGAAATGAAGGAATATTGTATCGAATTGTAACATGTGATGAAAAGTGGATTCTTTATGATAACCGGAAAAGAAAAATGCAATGGCTGACCCCAGGTCAAATGCCACAACAGTGTCCTAAAGCAAAACTTACCAATAAAAAGGTAATGGTAACTGTTTGGTGGTCTCAGCATGGTGTTATTCACTATAGTTTTCTCCGATCTGGTCAAGCAATAACGGCAGATGTCTATTGTGCCGAACTCCGAACCATGTTGACAAAACTAGCAGTAAAACAACTCATGAATCGATCTTCACCATTATTGCTCCACGACAACGCGAGACCTCACACAGCACGAGAAACCATTTCGACCCTTCAGGAACTGCAGTTAGAAACCATTCGTCATCCTCCGTATTCACCAGGCCTTGCTCCAACGGACTACCATTTTTTTCGTGATTTGGACAATTATCTACGTGACAAGAAGTTTTCTTCCCAGGAGGCAGTACAAAATGCTTTCACACAGTTTGTGCAGTCTAGATCGTCGGAGTTCTATCGCAAAGGCATTATTAACCTTCCCATTAGATGGCAGCAATGTATAGATAATAATGGCAACTATTTTGATTAAATAAATTTGTTAAAAATTTAAAAAATAAACAATTTAGATTTTCAGTACAAATCGGCAATTTCATACTTTAACTCCTATTATTAAGATTATCATTTCCTAAATTTGAAACTTATATTAAAAGTATTTTAATTAAAAAGTCACATTACAAAATTGAAGAGTATGTTTTAGATAATAAAGTATGGAAAGACAACAAGAGTCTAGATTCCATACAAATATGATTCAAAGTGTATTTCATAGCATTTAAGTTTATTTGAAAAGAGCAATCCCTAGAGTTTCTTGCTCGTTCTTCTCAGGGAGGTCAGCGTAGTGAACGAGCAGTAGCTCAAAAAAGTAGCTTAAAAAATGACGTTTTCAAGTGTAAATATTCTACCTCTGGAGAAAATCATTATTTTACATTGACTTTGACTTTGACCAGTGGAGTTTTTCGTGAATTTTATACTATAAAATTTTCCCGCCTATTCCTAAAATATTCTTTTCAAAACGATCATAGACAATAACAATTTAAAATAAAAACTTTTTTTAAACCGGGCGAACTTTTTTGCCTATCTATTATTAATCTAGAATAAACCATACAGCTTAAAAATTATGCAAGACTTACATTACATATTTCCGTCAGGACAAAAAGACATTATAAACTTAAAACCAATGGAATTTATGTTTGACGATTCTAATAAGGAGTTTTATTCTGCTCTCGGAATGTAAAGGGGCACAACTAATATTTTTATCATAATTGAGTTACATACATATTCGGGATCTGGAAGTAAAGGGCAATCTAATTATTTTTTTGTGGAAATATGTTTCAATAATTGTTGAATATATACAGCAAGCTCAAAAGGCATAACTTACTTCTGTAATCAGATTTTTATTTGACTACCATTAAAAAGTCATATTTGTCGTTTATTGCATTGAAAACACTAATTTCAAAGGATTTTACTTAGTAATGTACGGAATTGTGCCTTTATTACGTAGTTCAACTACAATTATAATAACATAAAAAGGCACAACTACAATTTAAAAAAAAAATTAAAGAAAAGATTCGCCCGAAGCGTTACACTTCCACATTTATGTGGCGAACGGCTATGGAGTGGAATTCCCTGCCTGCAGACTTGTTCCCTGAACGTTATAACTTGGACCTTTTCAAGGCGAGAGTGTGTGGTGTGCATGCTCCATCGTCGACCTCATCATCACTTTCCATCACGCGAGATGGAGGTCAAATGCGCACTTATATGCTCGTATTATATAAAAAAAATCTGTCTTTCTTAGTCTTTATTTTTATTCATAAGTCAAGTATATGTAATAAAAATCACATTTACATTAGTCATGCCTTTACATAGAATTATAATATTCTTATATTTAGAAATAGAGTCATTGCAATTATTGAAAAAGAAATTAAAATTCAACATTTGGAGGAATTTCTCAAAGTTTTAATATTTTATTCTATGTAACTTCTACTAAATTGTCATCATGGCAATTGATACGAAATATTTGTAATAGTATAGTAAAGAGTTCGTCCAGGGAAGTACTGCCACCTTACCTATTTCTGCCGCCAAGCAGTGATGTCAGTATTACTGTGGTCCGGTTTTGAAGGGTAAAGGTGCTGGTGAAATTACAGGCACATGGGACTTGCCAACTTATGTCTCAGGGTGTCGGGCGCAGTGGCAGTGCCCCTCGAATCTTTGCGATTTAAAGCTCTGAGTGGCACTGCAACTGTTGTGTACAGGCGTATAGCTTATCATCAGACACACGACTTGTTCGTCCAGTCCCTTAGTTATTACAAAAAAGAACTTAGTTAGACCTTGTTTTTGTTTTTTTCTTAGTATACTACAATACTAAATTATGTATTTGTATACCTTCATTTGAATATTCCGTGAAAACGTACTCTCTTTAAAAAAAATTATGATACCTTGTATTTGTCGCTAAGGGAATTAAACCATTTTTGTTTCTACGAAGTTAGAAATACGGCTGATTAAACTACAATGAAAGTTTCTGTATATAACATACGGTGTGTATTTATGACGTAAATAAACTATTTTAATATCAAATGTATATTTTAGTTATTCTTTTTATCAGAAAAACCTAAAAAATATTTATCTACGAATTTAGAATTTGCCACTTGTTCCTTTCTTTCTTCCGGAGTCATACTAAAGACATACTGTCATTTGCCTAAACCTCAGCCGCTGAAAAAAATAAGGCGTAGTCGAGGACGTTGCGCAATCCCCTAAACGTCGTTTGCTTACGCGTTCTATAAAGAAGAACTAGCAAGCAAGGCGTACAAGCAGTTATAGATCATTGTTCTACGGCCTGCGCGTACGCAGGTATAAAACACGATCGCGCTCAGCAAATTGCATCAGTCTCACTGTACAACACTGAGAGGATACATCATGTACGCTAAACTGGTGAGTCCTTTACCAATTTCTTAAAAAACTGAGTTCTCGGTTTCTCAAGTCAGTATGTAGTTATCGTGTTTTAATATTGAAACTATATTACGTATGGAAGTCTTAGATTTTCGCTTGGAAATTGGAAATGATACAATTTTTTTTGGGTTTATTTACTGTTGGGTAATTTCCCGAGAATAATTTCTCGAGGAATTTTTAATTTCCGAAAAATTGGAAAAATTGGACAACTATAACTTTGAAGGCTCATATTATATCGAGTTCTTAGATTTTCGCGATTGTTACACATAGGAAATGAAACTATTTTTCCGGATTTAAATCGCGTATATTTGTTTTTTCAAACAAATATACTCTTATTATGTTCTACGTTTAGAAATATGTTTTGAGCTTTTATTTAGCGTGAATTAAAAAATAAACTTGTACTATAGCTATGAGCCTCCTAAAGAAAAACAGAGTTTTAAAATGATTTCGCAACAACAACAAAAAAACCTTTTCAATGGATCCACCGTTTTCGTTCAGTAACTTCAACTTTTGACAAGTGGCAACATCAAGTGTGGAAAAATATCCGGAAAAATATTAATTTTTCTGAAAAATTTCATATTTTTTGTTTTTTTTTTCATCACTCAACACTGTTATCTATACATCTTTTTTTAAACAAATAAATCGACTTGTTAGAAACAACAAATATACGCAATTTAGATCCGTAAAAATAGTTCTATTACCAATATATTGCACCCTGGTATAATAAGGTCACATCTGCAGAGAAGAGACGTTTCAGAGAATTTTTATTCTGTAATAGAAATTAGTTAATAACCTTTTTTTATACTTAAATAGGAGAGTTATAACATTTCATACATACATAATTTGTTTCATATAGTTCACATTATTAACCGACTTCAAAATATGAAGGAGGTTCTAGATGTATGTTAAGCGATAACGGCATTTGTGAACCGATTTTGGAGATTCTTATTTTGTTGGAAAGAAGGTACCTCAGTATTGGTCCCTTTTAAATTTGAAGACAGTATTCCACCTCTGAGGGTGGCAAACTAGGGGATGAAACCGGTTTCGCGCACCTTCCAGTAACCAGTTTCAATAAAACTTGGTTTTGCGGTCGGTATTTTTTATAAAAAACTTGTTTTCGACTTTCGTGTGATAAAAGCACTTTTGGCGTACGATCACTTGTACCTTTATTATATCAAGACTATTATATTACATGTGCTTAACAGTGGAAAGTATGTAGATTGATTTATTAGTATATTCCGCTTCACAAATGTGTAAATTGTCTATGATTTATAATACTCTAGAAGAATTAACTTTGGAGGAGCTCCGTGCGCAGTAATGGGTCATATAATGTATATTACATATCGTCTGAGGTAAAACCACAGCGACATTTTCCACAAAAAAATCTCCGAATGATGTACCAGTTGTGAGAAATTCACCATCTATCTGCAGATAAAACTTTTATTCATATTTAAGCTTTTTTGTTATTCAATTTCACATGCAGAAAGATAGTGGTTTTCTTATCATAGGTATATAAATTAAAGACTTTTATGTGGAAAATATCACTTATGTGGTTTGTTTTACCTTTAAACAGACAATACAAGTTGAACCGGTCATTAATTGCGTTTTCTCTTACGACAGATATATTTTTTTTATATTAGACAACATCCCTTACATACGTTGCTCTGATCCCAAAGTAAGTAAACTAATTTTTTAATAGTAGTAGAGCTCCTTGAGAAAGAGTTCGTCCAGAAAAGTATTGCGACCTTGCCTATTCCTGCCGCCAAGCAATAATGTCAGCATTACTGCGTTTCGGTTTTGAAAGGTAAGGGTACTGCTGAAATTACAGGCATATAGTACTTCACAACTTATGTCTCAGAGTGATGGGTGAAGCATTGCCCGTAAGATCTTTGCGATTTAATGCTCTGGGTAGCATCGCAACTGTTACGGACAGACGTGTCGCTTACCAACAGGCGCACGACTTGTTCGTCACGCCACTTGGTATTGGTGAATAAATTTGCCAACTGACGTAAGGGATTCGTCGATGGTTGTTCCGGTGCCTGAAATGTACTGAGGAAGAAGATGTAGAGAGAGACGGCACGAATCATTCGTGCACCTGGTGATAAGCGACACGCCTATCCAGCACTCAGTTTTCATCGCAAAGATCTGAGAGACACTGCCACTGCGCGCGTCACCCTGAGACATAAGTTGACAAGTCCCATGTGCCCGTAATTACACTAGCACCCTTACCATTCAAAACAGAAACGCCGTAATTATCACGTTACTGCTTGCCGGGAGAAATTTAATTCTGTTTCGGTTCAATTGATGTTATCATCATGAAAATTGTCACCCCACTGCTTAGGCTTTTTAACACGAATTTCTATAGGCCATGACAGTAATCCGGATTTTTCCGTATAAAAGTTGTTAATTAAAGAAAAAAATATTATTGGCAAAATTTTGCTAGTCAGTAGTAGCAAAAAGCCAACGACTCGCTGTGTTGCCATCCACTGACAGCGCCCGACGTCGCTTATCTTCGGTGATCGGACGAGAACCGGTGTATCCAGCGCGGTATGAACGTTGGCGACAATGTAACCAAATTTACCATTCTCTTTAGGGAATATAGAACACAAATGCCCCGTAATACTCATATACTGCTTGGCGGCAGAAATACGTAAGGCTCAAAAATTCAATGCAACAGTGAATAGGAATCAACGCTTCACGTCTGTTTAAAGTGTAACCAAACTTACGACGATAAAAACAAAAAAAAAAACAATACAAAAAGATTAGTATTATGCAGAGACTCGACTTACAGATCAGTACTTTTACTACGAGAATACTGTGACAGTTGTCGCTAGCGCCGTGTAAATCACGTCACAATTTTGTATGGCAAATTATACAGCGCGCCTAGCGGTCGCAAGAAGAAATTACATTTTGTATACAAACATTTTACACGGTCGCTAGCGACGGTCTGACTGTAACCGTCACTGCAATCTCATGGTAGAGGCACATTGGTAAAGCGGTCGCATTTTTGTTTGCATTGGTATAGCACAGACGCTGGCCCTGTCATATCGAACGATTTTTTCTTTGTATTCAATCGTCGTACTAATAATCATGTTTTTTTTAAATAATTTCAAGCGACGGGACGAAAACGCCGTCCGTCTGATAGTAACCGACACGCATGTCCATAACAGTTGCAGTGCCACTCAGAGCTTTAAATCGCAAAGATCTGAGGGGCACTGCCACTGCGCCCGATACCCTAAGTCATAAGTTGACAAGTCCCATGTGCCTGTAATTTCACCAACCCTCCTACTCTTCAAAACCGGAACACAGTAATGGTAACATTACTGCTTGGCGGCAGAAATAGGTAAGGCAGTACTTCCCTGGACGAACTCTTTCACAAGGAGCTCTACTGCTACTAAATGTAAACACACGTGCGTCTAATTTTCATTAAAAAAAAATTCTATGACCACACTAGGTTATTTGTAACCAACAACCTCGCAGCATTAACAACATCACAAACAACAACTTTTGTTTCATGTCTTTTTACAAAAAAAAATTACAAAACATCGTAAAAGGAGTTGTTTCTTTAGTGGTACTAAAATAAATGGAAAATTTAACCAGGTTCTTAGTTGGTTTTTTGTAAAGAGCTCTAAATCTAGAAAGTCTGAATTAAAAACAAATTATTTTTGACCTGCAATTTCCAGAAAATCGTTAGGGATTTTTAATACTATGTAAAGTAAAACGAAACGTAATCCCATCAAACGGAACGGATTTTTATGTAATTTTTTGGCTAACCGGACAGTGGCCAATACCATAAAAAATTATTGACAGACCAGATGTCAATATCATTCTTGTTTTTTTTATTTTTTTTATTTAATTTATTAAGGCTTTGGCAAAGCCATCAGCCTAAATATGAAGTTTAAATATGTTTCTGTAAATATGGCCGCCACAAAGAGGATAGGCAATTTGAGGCGGCGTGCTTGGATTGACTCGGGATTCCTTAAAACGGGCCGATACGGGTATTTTATTTCGAGATTCGTATAATTTCGCGTTTTAATCTTCGATTAAGGCACAATAGCACTATCCTATTCCACTTTAAACTAGATTTCACAAAATAATTGAAAGGCAAAATAAAAACGACACTTTTCCCTCCAAAAGGTCCAAAGCGAATCATGTCATTCTTGTTGCAATTTATTTAGCCAATTAGAATTAAAATTTTGAATATTTTAGCGTATAAGTGTTGCTGCTTTTTGGACTTCTTTTAGTATCGCAGTGTTGCTGGAATAAATTTATCATATCTACCACACTTTTGTTTTAAATAAATAAATAAAAAATGCAGGTCACAATTTTTTAATTATTTAGCTAAGCTCTTTATTTCAAGCTCAAATCTAGCAAAAAAAATTGAGGCTGGTTAAATTTTTCATGGAATAAAGTACCAAGCTCCACACTAATTCGCTACAAGCCGTTTACTATTTTTGTTGTACTATCTGACACTTTTTAGATCACATTGTCATTCATAAAATATTTTGGTGGTAGGTGCTTTCTTTTGCAACTGTACAGAATAATTACCCTTTACAGCAATCTATTTAAATTTTTAATTTTTATACGAAAGCAAAATATGATGAATTATAAAAAATCATGGAACAAAAGTTGTTCCATATAATCCTGCATACAGAAACTATAAACTTTTCATAGTAGACATAGAAGCGAAACTCCAGTGACTGTTACAAATATCCAAACAGAACAAAACCACGTCCTTTCTCGTCAAATATGTTTTTTACAATGGCGGCCGCCTGTCAGCGTTCCGTTTATACGTTGATCATGATATCCATTTCTTTCTTATTCCGATAAAACTAATTCTTAAGTTTTCTAACAAAATAAAATAAGTTAAAGCCACGATTCGCTAACAGATGGCCATTCTGCTCAAGGAATGTCCTTGTTGGACTGCCACGCAGAGTTACCGGGTTGGGAGAAATATTTGTATGGCCTACATTTATTTCATTATTATTGTTGATCTTTAAAGGCGTCAGAGGACCGTTAGACATTTAGACAACTTAATAACTTTTTTGTAAAAAGAAAACCGACCACAAAATTTCGTGGAATTACATCTATTTGCTAAGTTTTATTGAAATCGGTTGCGGGAAAGTGCGTAAAAACCGGATTCATCCCCTAGTTTATCACCCTTAGAGGTAGAATATTTTTTTCAACTTCAAATGGGACCAATACTGATGTACCCTCTTTCCCTTCCCTTTCCTCTTTCCTTTCTTTTACACAAATAATCTAACCTCCGGTTAAAAAACCGACCTCAAAAGTCATTCATCCCCTAGTTTACCACCGTTAGAGGTGGAATATTTTCTTCAAATTTAAATGGGACCACATCTGAGGTACCTTCTTTCCAACAAAAAAAGAATCATCAAAATTTGTTCACAAATGGCGGAGTTATCGCGTAACATACAATCAAAAAAAAAACATACAGACGAATTGAGAACCTCCTTCTTTTTTGAAGTCAATTAAAATAACTGCTTCCATGGCTGAACGGTTACCACGCCGGACTGCAACGCAGAGGTCCCGGATTCGATTCCTGGGCAGGGAGAAATGTTTGTATGGCCTACATTTATTTCTCTCGTGAGTTTCGGTGTAAGTTGTGGTTATCTATATGTGTGTCCATGGCACCTGCGATACAGGGTTTCCCTAGTGTATGGCTATGAGTGTGTGTGTCATTATTATTAGACGACCATACTCCACAGTTTGATACAGTAGAATTATTCTAATGATTATATGAATTAATCATTGTTGTTGCTTATTTTGTATGCATAACACACCAGTGAGTTTGTTTGTCACCTTCCATTGCGCCTACATCTGATTGACGACATTGACATCGATTATAAACCTATTGAAGTGTCATATTTTATAAATTAAACATCATGGTATTTTACTGCTTTTTTATTTTATTTTTTAAATACCCAGTGACCTGAAAATCACAAAAGTAATAAAAACTACATGAAATATATTATCTATTCTGAAATTTTATGAGGCTCCTATTTAGGCCCAAAAAAGTTACCGACGAGTAGAATCTTTAAAAATTTCTCATGAAAATTTGTCATTTTGCAGATATGGCCTTATTACAGCATGGACTATATGTTGTTCATATATCCGTTTATAATATCTATGTCCGTTTATAATAATCTTTAAATGCTTTTTGTAGTAGTTGTGGAAGTAGTAGAAAGGAACTGAGGGTTAAACATCTCTCCTGAATAGCTGTCAATTTGGGCCTTATTGGGCCTTTGGAATGGCCTTATTACAAGGGCGTACGTATTGTTGTTGTGTTACATACCTAGGTACCTACATATTCTATTTTCAACTGAATTTTAAAAAGGGGTTATCAATTCGACTGTATTTTTTTATAATGTATGTATGTTCAGCATTTGTGAACTGACTTTGATGATACTTTTTGGAAAGAGGGTATACAGTATTCCGGTAACCGATTTCAATAGAACTTGGCAAATAGAAATAACAACGACAAAATTTTGTGGGTTTTTTTATAAAAAAGTTATAGAGATCACTGGTTTTAACTTCTGTTTTGTTTACTTGTCTAACGGTCCATCGACGCCTTTATACACCAACAATAAATTTGAAAACAATAGACAGATTATTGTTAACTTTATTTAGAGTTCTATTCATGCTGGGAGTTTTTAAAATTTTTCGTTTAAGTTTCATAAATACAAAACGCAAATAATGCATTTTTATTGTGACAAAACTCAAGCATAATTGAGCTGTTGAATTCCTCGCGTCTCGAAGGGGATATTGTACACTTGTATAATAAAACCACATGAGATCATACATCAAACGTACTTTTATCATAATCAAAGTCATTAAAAATAACTACATGAAACAAACTATATATGTGTGAAATTTTATAATACTCCTATTTCAGTCATAAAAATATTTATCGACTAATTAACGCCTCTCTCGTAAAAGTTGTCGTTTTGCAAATGTGGCCTTATTACAAGCTTAGTACGATATGATGGTCATCGCCGCGAAACTGTCACATAAAAAAACATTAATAGCTATCCAGCAGTGAAACTCGCATTCGCTAATGAATGCGAGTTTTGTCTCTAAAGACACAGTAAATTTAGATTATACTATCTATAAATATTTCCTGGTTAATAAGTCTAGACTTCAGACTTGCGTGGGTACGCTGTGGTCCTAACAAACAAGTATATTGGTCAATCGGAAACAATGCAACCTGGAATGCATGTCTCACTTAAATACAAACTGGACATTACTATATTTAGTACCTAATATTAAACTTTGTTGTTTGTCTTGTATCAAGAGTCTCCTCCAAAAAGCGGAAGAAATTATTCGTAACCTAATAAATAGAGATGTGTTTTTTAGTTTGTAGCTTACAAAATCGTTCAGAAAAACATTTAAGCGCTTAAACTTTTGCGTTAAAAAAGCCTGCAACGTTGTGTTGATAGCAAAAAGCAAGAGTAGACCACTAAAGGTTTTGATATAGGTAAGTTTATTTGCAAAACACGAATTTTGTTTGTATTTATAAAATTATTATTCAGATTGATGAATTAATTTGTTTAAGAAACATAATGGCGGGACTTGAAACATAAGCACGTTGGTAACGCTTTTGCTTAAATTGAAAAGCGTGCTTATTTTAAAAAGTAAACTTCTAAGTGCTTCTCGATTAAACCCCTACCTCTACTAATAAAGCCACAAGTGCTTTTATCACCGAAAGTCATAAAATAATGCGACCATTATGAAACCAATGATCTGTCCCAAAAAGTATAATAATGCAATTTCCGAGCAGCACAAAATTTTAAATTTTAGGTTAAATGTATAAAAAATATATACACGGACAGCCATTAAATTTTAACTCATTACTAGTTATTACTTGGTGTACACTCCGCATGTTAACTTGGTGCAGCAAACGAACAGCTACCTAGCTAGCTACAGGTGATGTCTGAAAATCAGCAATGCTGAGTCTTTAACCGTTTTGTCCACATCACTCAATTGTTTTTTTGTATTAATGTTTTAAGTATGATGTTTCCAATGTTTTGTGGAGAAATATATGCCTTTTTATTTATTTTGCTTATTTCAAGTCGTGATTTGGAGGTAATTTGTTCTTGCGCAGTTACGTTTTTGGATTACTTATTTCAATTCTTTTCATCAGTTCCTTCTCCTTGCCCTGGCTGCGGCAGCGCTTGCTCGCGAGTACCCGGCCGGCGTCCACCCCGCAGTATGTCCAAACTACCCCTACTGCGACACCGAAGCACTAGCTCGCCACTCACCTGACGGCACCCCCATTCCCGAGTGGGTCCGCAACCCTGGAATTCTGCCTGTAGCTCCCGCTGCTTACGCGTAAGTTCATAATTCATTTTACTTGTGAGAACAAAGGTTATTGACATGAACAAAGTAAGTATAGTTTCACTGTGTCCAGCCGAGCAATAGGCATACAAATGTTGAAGGTATATTTATTATAACATGTTTCTTTTTCAATAATATTACACATGGATTTAATAAGTTTGTGTTTACACGCGGTGATAGCTCATCGTCATCATCAGCTTGCACACATCCACTGCTGGACATAAGCCTCCCCTAGAGCACGCCAACTTTCTCGGTCTTGTGCCGCCCGCATCCAGCCACTACCGGCTACATTGCTCAGGTCGTCCGTCCGTCTTTCCGCAGGGCGTCTCACCCCTTGACGTGGTCGACATTCCAGAACAGGTCTGCTCCATCGGCGATCAACCTTCCTGCAGATATGCCCTGCCCACTGCCACTTAAGCTTACTGACTTTGCGAGCTATGTCGGTCACTTTAGTTCTCTGACGTATGACCTCGTTAGGGATTCGGTCCATCAGAGAAACCCCTGGCATAGCTCGCTCCATCGCACGCTGAGCGACCTTGAATTTGTGGACGAGGCCTCTTGTTAATGTCCACGTCTCGGCTGCGTAGGACATAGCTGGTAGAACGCACTGGTTAAATGCTTTAGTTTTTAGGCTTTATGGGATTGACGACCTGAAGATGTGGCTAAGCTTCTTTTGGGCTGCTTTGGGCGGTATTCGCCGCCCAGCCCAAACGAATTGGACATTTATGATAGTAGAGAGAGAGAGCGACGGGCGTTGACTGTTAGAAGCAATATGTTGGCGCGCAGATTCGCACGTTGCACAGTACCTGTGAAGGTGACACTTTTCAAGGCATTCTGTCAATGTTTCTATACGTGTAATCTGTGGGTCAACTTTACGCAGAAGACAATCAACGCCCTGCTCGTTCAGTACAACAACGCGTTCAGGGTTTTATTGGATTTGCCACGGTACTGCAGCGCATCAGGCATGTTCGCGGATGCTCACACGGATGGTTTCCATGCTATCCTTAGAAAGAGAGCTGCCTCATTAATAAGTCGTATCCATTGCGGCACGAATGAGATTCTGCGCGTTGTGGCTGGTAGAGTGGATTGCCCGATCATGCTACATTGCATTAAACTGCATGTAAAACCATGTCGATGAATTATTTGATATTTAATTTAATTTGTTTAATTATTCTATGTTTTTAAGTTGCCTTTTGTTTAATTTAAATTTGTTTTATTGAATTATCTAAGCTAATATTATAATTGTAAAATATGGACTGTAGTTGTCTGAGAATAAATGATTTTTGATTTGATTTGATAGTTAAGTGGTACAATTTTAATGATAACAAAATGTCAAAATAATGCCGACGATATTAATAGAAACATTTTTCACAGTCCATTTATGAATGTTATTTAGGAGGTTCTCAATTCGACTGTTTATTTGTATGTATGTTACGCGATAACTCGGGTATTTGTGAACCGATTTTCATTCTTTTTTTGTTGGAAAGAGGGTACCTCCATAGTAGTCCCATTTAAGTTTGAAGAAAATCATCCACCTCTAAGGATGGTTGTTCACGCATGAACATTCATTTTTCCTAATAAGCGTCTAAATTTTTTTATGAGGAGCAATTATTTTAATGGTTGATTGTGCTATTCTCCAATTCAAGGCGTTTTTCTCTCTCAATATACTTTGAGTAGTGAAAACCGATTTTTATTATCTCCTGTGTCAAGTTCCGTATAGTGGCGAACTAGGGGACGAATCGGGGTTTGCGCGTTTTCCGGTAACCGATTTCAATAAAACTTGGCAAATAGATATATTTCCACGTACTTTTGAGATCGGTTTTTTTATTACTCTGTACTTAGATTATTGTACGCAAAATAGTGACAGACATAACATTAATACGAGAAATAAAAATAAACTCGCTGTTCTTGACAGTCGCCTTCATAAAGTCTCAAATTAATTTAAGGAAGAATGTATACGCTTCTATAATAAGATTCCGATTGATATTCAAAATTTGTCATTTACCAAGTCTAAAACTATAGTAAAACAAAAACTACAGCTTCTGCGTTCTTGAATGACAAAAATCCGTGCTAGTGACCCGTTTAGCTCTTGCAGGCATTCTCGATCTAAGATATTTAAATTAAATATTGTAATGATAAATGTATTCAAATGTATATTTACAAAGAGCAACCCCTAGAGTTTCTTGCTCATTCTTCTCAGTGGAATCTGCCTCACGAATGAGCAGTAGAGTTTAATCAGTACGACGATTTTTAGCGTAATTTGCTTTTCTATGAAATAACGCACGGACGCATGCATTCGTATAGTATCGCGGTTAATTTTTGTACTCGTTACGACAAAATTTATAAATTCGCGACATTTGTTTAAGTTTTCATTTTTCATTCCAGCGCGGCCGCTCCCGGCGCAGTCCCGGCCGCACCCCGCTACCCCGCCGACTTTCCCGCGGCACTGTGTCCTAACTACCCTTACTGCTGGTAATCTAATTAGGATACCTAGGACTCCTAAAGCTACCATTATTAGTCACAAAAAGGCGCATTGTTAGGTACTAAGTGTCCAATCGGAAATCAGTATTTAGTCATAATTGACCGCCTATATTTCTAGTGACGACTATAATGATAGCTGTTATTGTAAAGAATGAAGCCAGATTTTCAAATAATACTATATAAAATACAGTCAACAATGCTTTGAACGTAAATGAGTGCAAGCGCATAAATGTTTTCCGTGACTTTTGTAACGTTTTATATGTTATGATTAAATATGAGGTTTATTTTCATTTATTCTACATTAAAATAATTACAAAGATCTTGTTGTACGACACGATAGTTGTCCTCTTTGAAAATATTGTAAAAATGAGAAAATCTGTGCTAAACATCACTGCCATACTTATATTACTTTTTTTTGTAAAAATGTAAATAAATATGTATACTTTTTTGGAGCGTGAAAATTTAAAAACGAAAAGAAAGAATTGTAAATAAAACATTTTAAAATAAATCCTTGTATTTTTATTATTGATACTAAAATGGAACAAGCATAAAAAAGTTCCTTCCATCCGACTGGACCCTGTGTCTGTTGTCTCAACGTGGCTGCTGCTATTCACTTATCAATCGAGCCAGCAGATCTTAAATTGTTTCCTAAGTGGTTTCTACAGATTTTTTATTAGGTTTTAAACGCTTACTTTTTTGTTATTTTAAAAAACCATTTACAATAAATCTATTGAAAACTTTTTTTAAGAATTAGTGATTGTACATTTGCTAAACAAGGAAACGTTAATCTATACTAATTTAACGGACTGTCTGTACAAATTTATTTAGGTGAGTGAAGAGGTTTAGTCAGGACCAGAGATGGGAACTGGGTTAACACTCAAACAACTTCATCATCATCATTAGATCAGAAAGCAATAAATATTTTGTATCTATTACTATCGTTCAGTTTGAATAAAACTTCATTTACAACAAATATTTAATTGTAAATCGATTTTGTCCACGATTACGGGCATTTATTGGTTTTTAACCCGATTCAAACCCGGCGTTAACAAAGCGCCGGATTAAATGGTTAGGACTGCCGTCATCGTCCTTTGTCAAAAAAAACGGCCGTCGTCTTTTGTCCAAAATAAAATCGGTCTATTTTTGAATTCCCGTCAGTCTAATAAGTCTGACTTTGTAGCCTGTCCTTTGATCACCCATGGACGCTGGACGAGCACTTATAGGCGCCGTATGTACGGCGACCGAGCATTGCGAAACACGGGAAAACTAAAATCCGTTGCCTACCGTACCGAACGCGCAAAATTCCCGATTCAACGAACATCTACCCACAAATCTAAAAGTGTTACAAGAGACGAAACGTTATATGCTCGACATAGAGCGGTTACGGTGGCGACTTTAAACAGCGATGTATACATACAAACGTTAACCCAAGTGTAGCACGTTCGGGAAACGCGCCATTAGAAAAAACCTCTCTAAAATTCCTTTTATTGGATAATGAATTCTACAGTATCGAAGACTTTCTTTTGAAGCAATTCTAATTGTGTTTCACTTGACGTCGTTGTATATCAACAGGTGTCGCCAATTCTATGATAACTTGAAGGATGGCGATTAAACTGGAAAAATACAACCTATAGCGTACCTGAATATGAGGTACACATGCATCGTTAAATTGATTTACATTATTTTACACCCAGTTGCGTAATGGCACGCAACTGTTTTCATGCATCCCTTGGCTTCACGCGACCTCCATCAGATCGTCGGTCCACCTGAAGAACCTTTCATTCTTCTAGCTATGTGCCCCGCCCACTGCTACTTAAGCTGAGCAATTTGTAGCTGCAAGTCATCCACGCATCCGCCGCGCTCAACGCGTCGGCGTGCACTGAACGGCGAGCGCGCGGCGGGTCCTATTTATGCCTTCGCGCGCACCCGCGCCGTAACATCTCTATGTACTATAGTCTATTTCAATAGAATTGAGAGTAAACGTAAACAAACCAGTTAGGTTAAAATTCTGAAGAAATCACTCACTATATGGAATAAGTAACACTTTTATGTGTATTTTGTAGGTTTCCACTAGATATCTCACCACTTTTTCCAACAATATTCGTTTGTTATGCATTATAAAATCATAATTGAAAAATCTTCGCCGAAAACTGAGATTGATTTGACAATCCATAGTCTAGAATGTCTATGGTTGCATAGGGATGTACGGAAAAAAGTTCAATTGAGTGAATCATAGTTTGAGTAAGTGATTGCCTCAAGAGTCACCAGAAACTTACGTCTTGAAGTCATTTGACCAACTCTTATTTCTGTACCGCTTACAAACGATTTAGCGACTTGTTAACTATCAAGTATTTTCATAATTTTCTGTATTTAACTGATAGCTTCTAACTTTTAAACAATAAATGTCAATAATCGTAAATAAAGAAACGTTTTTATATGTATCACCTTCAATCAATTTACAACGGTCAAATGCGCGGAATTCACTTGATGTTAGTCCAACAGATTCAATTGATCGATCTGATTCATTCAATAATTGATTAGTAAATTACTCCACAATTGCCCATCACTAAACCGACTATGGTCGGGTCAATGCACTCAATGTTTACCTTTACTCTCAATTCATTTGAAACAGGGTATACTTACTCAATCAGACTTGTACTATTTCTAAGATATACAAAAGTATATAAGTAGTAACATTCGTTGATTAAATGTCGAGCTACACCAAGCCACACCAAGCTAGCAAGCCACAGCAATAGCCTTCGACTCCTGAACAACCAGCGTTTTATTTGCCTACCAGCAGCTACACAACAGGCTCCTAAAAATTCTTCGAGCTATGTCGGTTACCTTAGTTCTCCTACGGATTTCCTCATTTCTGATTCTATCACGCAGGGAAATACCGAGCATCGCTCTCTCCATTGCCCGCTGAGTGACCTTGAGCCTTCTTATGAGGCCCATAGTGAGGGACCACGTTTCTGATCCATATGTGATCACTGGCAACACACACTGGTCAAAGACTTTCGTCTTGAGACATCATATCATATTTTACAAAACTGAATTGGGGTAAACACCTGTGGCCTCCAACCTCCCCTTACAGCCACCCCCGGCCTCACTTCTGATCACACTGACTTAAACTTCATCACTCTGTCCGCAGGCAAACTGATAGCGTCCATTACTGGTAAAACTAAACAACACCTGATTTATAGCTATTAGACGCAGCCTCTATTCTCAACGACTGATAATTCTGGCAACTCCTGCATAATAAAAGCTCACTCACAGCCGTTGCATTTACAACTCCTCCGTCCCTCTTTCAGCCAGCTCACCCCGCCTAGTTCCCTCATTTTTCACCTGTCACAATCGTTTTTATAACTGACATTTATTCTATATTCATTATTATTGTTTGCGTTGCTGACGATCGTATCGATACCTCCAATTAATACTACACTAACTTTATGGTCATTTTCTGTTATTTTTGTAAACAGCCACATACATTTACTAATATTATGCTCTCCAAAATGTATGAAGAAAAAAAAACAAATTTTGTAAAAAAATAAATAAAGTATCAAAAAACAAAATGAAAACAAAATAGGTCTAAAAATTAAGTTAACCCTTGACATTGTATTTTGAATTGTAATATTGCGACCCTAATAATATGAAATAAATGATTACATGCTATTCATACAACGAGTTTGACACAACATGTGAAATGTTACTCTGAAAAATTTACATAATTTAGGTACATACGATAATTGGGCGAGAGATATACCCCTTAGATGCTTGCACCGTCGTCGTCTAGAATATGAAATTATATTCAAAACCAAATAGTAAGCCCAGTAACGTAATGCAAGTTAAATATTTCACAGTTCCTGAAGTTTCCCCGCCCTGTTTCTTAACAGATAGCACGAAATCATCACATTCCCACCTTTACAAGCATACATCGATTGCAAAGAATTGGTGCGTAACGTGTTGCATTAATAACGCTGAACGCTAATCGTGGATTTCCTCACGGAGATTGGTTTAACAATTGACTTAATGCAAAAGGTTTTTAATAATTAATTTACTCATTAAGTCATTAAAATTATGAGAAGATTAAGTACTGTACCTCCAATTACAGTGACAGTTATCACTATAGCGACCGCGTAAAATGTTTGTATACAAAATGTAGTTTCTTCTTGTGACCGTTAGGGGCGCTGTATAATTTGCTATACAAAATTGTGAAGTAATTTGCGTGGTCGTTACAGACAACTGAGTAAAGTAAACCCTTTATGGGATAAGCTCGCCTTTGTACAATAACGTTCCATTTCTTTGTTAAAAATTTGTACTTTCTGTTGTACATACAATGAAGTGTTTTTATATACATATAT